AACCCCCTGTCTCGCCGGGGGACCATCGTGTACAGTTCTGTTAAGAGTCCAGGGTGTCTATTACCTGGAAAAACCTGGAAAACCGGGAATTTTATTTTAACCTGGAATATTCAGGGAATTTTGGTTCCACTCAGGGAATTTTCCAATTATCACTTCATTCGTAATTCAAAAGAAGTTTTTCGTTCAATTTCTCGAAACGTTTCTTAAGGACACTGAACTTGACAAGCATATGACAGCTAAGACAACGTGTGCGAACGAGACAAGTTCATTCAGAGAGTCTTGTCACGCTCGCTCTTCGCTGATTTGTATGTGGAGGATCAAAATCGTCGTAAAAAGGAAACAGCCGAAAAAGAGAGACTGGCAACCGTCAAAAGGAAGCATACGAAGCATGATTGCATAAGAATAAGCATGCCAGACAGCAGGTCTGAGACCCAACATAGAATTTTTTTTGAGCTTCAGAGAGGGTCGGAGATCTACTGAGAAATTTGTTGAGCTTCAGGGTAGTTCGTAGATCTTGAGAACAGAACTACAAACAAATTAAAAGTTATTAACAGAAATTCATAAAAACAAAATCACAAGAGAGGTCGTAGATCTTCAGATAAATGTTCAAAGAAATTTTCAAAACTTCAAGCAAGCAAAAATAATTTCAAATCAATTTGTAAAACTATAAGCGAAATTTTACAAATCTTCAGGGAAATTCGCATAACTTCAGACAAGTCCAAGAATCTACAGTGAAATATAAACTATTTCACAGAAGCTTGAAGATCCTCGAAACATTATTCAACATCAGAAAAGTTCGTACATCTTCAGAACAAAGCTACATACTTTGAAAAAAATTACAGGACTTCAGAAAAAATCACAAGAATCTCAGAAATGTTAATGGATGTTCAGTAAAAATTGCAGAACTTCAGGGATTAAAAAAAAATATTTACACGATTTCAGGAAAATTTGTAGATCTTGAGAGAGACATTTAAAACTTCAAAGAAGCTCAAATATGTTCAGATAAATTTTGACAACTTTAGGTAATCTTCAAGGAAATTTTCAAATCTTCAGGGTAACCTTAGAGGAATTTACAAAACATCAGAGAAGTTTGCAGATCTACTGAGAAATTTATTGAGCCTCAAGTTTTTTTTTGTAGATCTTAGGAATAGACCTAAGGAGCTTAAGTCAACTTTACAGAACTTTAAAGATATTTGCAGTAATTTTACAGAAAGTTTACAGTTTCACACAAATGTGAGATCTTCAGAAAAATTCGTTAAATGTCAGAAAAGCACCTCAATTCCAAAAACAAATCGCAGCGAAGTACAAAAGTACAATATTTTGCAGAACTCCATGGAAGTCGGAAATAGATAGATCTAAAGAACTTCAGAGAAGTCCGTAGACCTTAAGAGAAGTCCGTAGACCTTAAGAGAAGTCTGTAGAACGTCAGAAAGTTCGTACGTTTTTAGAAAAAAATGCAAAACTTCAGCAAACTCACAGATCTTCGGGAAAGTTCGCCGATCTTTAGATCAAGTATCCACAAAGAAATTTAAAGAACTTCAGAAAAGTTCGGAGATCTACTGTGAAATTTATTGAACTTCAGGGCAGTTCGTAGATCTTTAGAGCAGAAATACAGTACTTCAGAAAACTTTACAGAATTTGAAATGAATTTTAGGAATTTCAGAAAAGTTCAGAGGGTAGGTCGTAAATCTACTCAAAAATTAGCAGATGTTTAAATAAATTTTCAGAATTTTGCTGCGGTTCTTGGATTTTGAAAGACATTTACAGAACTTCAGGTAAGTTCGCTGATCTTTAGAGATATTTGCAAAGCTTCAGAAAAATTAGAAAATCTTCAGAATACTTCCTAAAACTTCCGGAAAGCTCAAAAATTTCTTTTGGAAAATTGTATAGATGTTCAGAGATATTTGCAGATATTCATTGAATCATGAAAATCTGCAGAGAAAATTACAGAACTTTCGAGAAGTTTGTAGATTATTTGAAATTTTGTGAACATCAGAGATTATTGTTGATCTTCAAGGATCTTAAATCTTCAGGGATTCAGGAACTTTGTAGATTTTTAGGAAAATTTGCTGAACTTCTGAAGAACACACAGAACTTCAAAGAAATCTGTAGAGCTACCGAGACATTTGCAGGTTGTCAGGAAAGATTGTTGATTTTTAAGAAAATTTTACCGGAGAACAGAAACAAAACTTCAGGGACGTCAGAAGGTTTGAAGACCTTGCAGAATTGAGTTGTTAACAGACATTTTCAGAACTCAATGAATCATGTATATCTAGTGAGAACTTTTCCCACTAGCTTGTCTAAAGTTGGTATCGACATCCTGGCGAAGTTTTGAAATCCATTTTCATCTTCATATCGCAGCTCTTGATGGACAAGATGAGCCAAATCCCTGCCGGTGTTCCTCCTGAGCAACCATTTCCTAGTCCACAAAGTTCACCTTCTCTTTCTCATTTTATTTAAAATAATAAAAGCAAATACGTCTGCCGAAACTAGAGCAATTTTCCGGTAATTCATGATGGAAGTATTTACTTTTGATTCCTGATACAGTTTTGTTTTGAAATCTAAATTGACAGTTCTTTCGACATGTGCAAGCAGTGTGAACACCAGCAAACAGGGGGGTTCGATAAAATAATAATGTGTATAATTTGTATGCACCTGGAATTTTTTTTCATCCGACCTGGAAAAACCTGGAAAACTCAGGGAATTTGATTCCTTGGATTGAGTAGACAGCCGCTCCTAGCATGGAGAACAGACGCTCAGATTTGATAAAGCATTTCCTCTATCACCGTACCATGGTTACCGCGCCAGTGTTCGCGTCGTACCTCTGCACTTTGTTATTGCCGGACCGGCAACATTGCCCAGGCTACGTCACCCAGCTGTGTCCATGTTTCAGCTGGTAGTCTTTAGTTATCATATGACTCGGGGAGGCGTGAAGCAGTTGTGATTTTGTAGCCTAAACTCAAGCCTCCTCAACTTGCCGTCAAGTTCTTTAAGAAACAAGCAACAATTACTTTTACCTTGCATTATAGCAGATAAGCACTGAGCAATTTATGCAGTGAAGATTATCTAAAAGTATCCCTTATTTAAAGAAATTTAATTTAAATCATATATCATATATTCTTAAGCCGGTGTTTTCGAATATTTTTCTGAGTCCAGGATTTAGACATAGGGTAAATGTTGGCTTCGGCACCCATTGACTGTTTTCGGCAACCTAAATTTAAACGTTAATTTCACTATGTTTTCCCATCAACGCACTTCCCTGAATGTGTCCAAACGATTGTTTAGCCTTTCAGCTTCAATCTGATTATATTTGAACGATCGAGCAATCCAGTAATGCTACATTTTTCTTCAAATAAAGCATACGCACTACAAAATGGGGTTGATTTCGAGTTGCCGATAATAGAACAGCTGGTTAACACGCAGTTCTAATGGGAAGGTTGCCGAAGAAAAAGAGGCTGCCGACAATAGTCACCTGAGAAGTTTGGAGCGTTGTAAAAACGCTTTCAAAACGTTTTGAAAAATTCTGTCGATTGGAATGGATAGAGAAGCAAGCAGCAGATGAATGTAAACAAACAGACACATCATATATGTGCGTGACGCTGAGAAAATGCTAGTAGAAGTGCAGACGCTGCTTAGATTGACGAGAATACGTAAATTCCCCTATTTGTAAGTTTTGGAGCTCAATATTTTCTGCAATGAGTACTTCCACGCCCAATAACAAAACGATCAGACCCGACCTTCTCCGATTGGCACCAAAATTTGCATTGCTGTTTGTTATGGGCAATTATTACTATTTGTGCTAAAATTCGCTCCTTTTGAATATGGCAGATACATTTTTTTCTACGTGACGTCAAACGTAATTTATATTAAAAGTGACATTTCCATGATTTATTGAAAAACATCGAATTTAGAGTGAGCTACGTGTTCGTTTGTTGAACTCAGAACTGAAAATTGTTGCCGAATTCACCGTTAAAAATTGCAATATGGCGGCTCATTTGCAGATGGGAATATTGCTCTCCCTTGCCTTCCTTTGCGACATTCACATTAAGGTGATTCCCTGTAGCGTCCTTTTTCGTGTTACACTTTACAATTTCACATGTAAAAATAATAAGGTTTCTGTGAATACAAGTAGCTGAAACTACTACTTGTTGTTTGCCCTGGAGAAGCTGAAATTTGCAAATGTATGAACCTCGTAGATATTGTGTTGTGTGCTCTTGAAATTGCGAGGTGTGATGGAAAAATGAACTTTACAAGGAAAAACCTTAAATAACCAGCGCACTGTAGTCTGTCTTGTTTCATCTGATTTACAATATTCACTCTTTCGCAATCCTGACTCAATTGCGATGTTCATGTTTTTGCATATTGAAAAGTGTTGTCAGCACAGATATAGCACAGACGTAAATCTTTGAACATGTTTTTCTTTAAAACATTGTACTTAAAAAAATACAGCCCTCAGTAACGACATCGAGCTTCTTGCGGAAAACAAAGCTTGCTCGCTTGGTCGCTAACAATGTTACATGCAAGGTAAACAGAATATATAGAAACGTCAAAGTTATCCGATGCCAGCGCTGCGGTGAGTAGTTCGCGGAAATGATAATATTAAAAACTGCCTGTGCTGTCAGAGTCACTTATGAATTTTGATTTCCCGATAAAAAATCAACCCGGTGGCAAAAAACAAAGATGGCTTGTGTTGTTAGCCAATCATATAATATTCAAGACCAACAATTGAAATGGCCTTAAACTCCATTTTGTAAACAAACCTTGTAAGGCCATTTTTTCGCGAACCGAAGACCGCAAAGGCAAACCAACATAATGAACAGGTAAGGGAAAATTCTCCTCTACCCGATTGTGGTTTAGGTTTGCGAATGAAGGTTTCGGTTCGCGAGAAAGGTTTGTTTACAAAATGGAGTTAAGGCCATTTCAATAGTTGGTTTTAATATGAGTGATTTGAGATTTGGGCGTAATTGCTTTTGTAAACAAACGCTTCACTTGACGATTTCTCGCGAATAAAAGTTCAGTCTAGAAAATTAACAACACAAACAGGTAAAGGAATGGTTCATCTAGCATGTGGTGTAATTTGATCCCGAGATTGAGCTTTTATTCGCGAGAAATCGGCGACTGACGTGTTTGATTACAAAAGCAATTACGCCCAAATCTTGAAGTTCTCCAGAAAATTGATTCTAAATTATGGTCTAGTCACACTTTTATATCGCAGCATTAGTTTTTTTATTTTCCGCAGTATCAAGAACTGATTTCAACAATATCCATATATATATATTTCGGAGGTCACTTACACTAATCATAGGAACAAAACCATCTCAATCAACACGATTGCGGCGGGCACTGACGGACGACAATAAACGACAATCACCAAATTGAAAAAGGGCCATCTTTTTGTTTTTAGTTGTGCGGATATTTCGCACTTCCAAGTATCGATCACATCTCAATATTCCACTCTAGCGAACCAAATCGCCGCACTTGTAGCACTTGCAGTCGATCGGTTCCTTGAGGCGAATCTCCATGGTGCCGGAATCGTGCTCGTTCATCCGGACACCGTCCGGATCGTAGCAGTGAGTCAGCTGCAGTTGGCGCTCCCGGAGGAACGATTCCCGACAGCAGTAGCACTCTTTGAGGAATCCGGTGGCGGTGATGACCGACGGTTGCACCTGGCTGTTGCACTTGCCCTCGCACTTGTTCACGGTTACGTCCCCGTTGCAGGTCCTGTACAGACGACCCAGCTCATCGTACTCCTCTGTAAATGGGAATGCCTAATGAAGTGTTCAACCGAATTCGGACGAAAGCGACGAAGCAAACCTTTAATTAGATGAATCTCCGAAGGCAGTGTCTCGCAGGTTTCGTCCCCAGGTTGGTACTGTGCATCCGCTACGGATCGGTACAGCAGTTGCGGAAGCAAAGACATGCAGCAAACAGCTGCCAAGATTTGTCCAGTCTCAAGTCGGTACATCCTAACTGAGCAGTGGTAAACTCGAGGCACAATCACTCCACTTCGACACTTGACGGTGATCTGCGAGGATTTGCGCCCGAGTGGAGATTAATAAATAATTTTCCATATTCGATCCCGGCGGGGGGTTTGCCTGTCTGCTGGACGATGGTGGGGGGCAAGGTTGAAATTTTTCACCAACAACAAGCGATAATCCCTGTGTACTTCATGGGACGTCCTGCTGGGAATGAAACGACTGGGCAAACATGCATTGCAGTATGCGAAAGTCATGTGAACTGGTTCTTCTTAGGTTTTGCATCTTGGGCGTTGTTTCATGAGAGCTTTTCTTTGCTCTCTAACATTGCAGTCAATGACTTGTGACGGGAAATGGGTTTTTCCTATTTTCTGCGTAGTAAGCTGCTGGGCCTGGGGGAAAGTTCACGGTGATGCATTAGTAGACAGTTGCCATTCGGTTGAGAAAGGATGGCGTCGGCCAGACTATGGCCGAATTTTTTTTTCGTCCAGGAATTGCATGCAGAACGTCGTCGTCGAAGGTCAAGAGGCAGGAACAAGCGACGGAAAGTTCAAGGATAATTAACGGGATAAGTTGATGTTTATGTGGGTGCAGTTGTGGTGGGCATGTCGAATTCTTTGTACCTAGCAAAAGTAGACGAACAATGGAAATGGAAAGAATCTGGTTTATGTAGTTGTCGATTTCGAGGCCAACACTGTTCTGACAAATGTTGACCTTTTAGATTTCCAGTATAGCGTTTTTGCTGGCACGAAAATTTACTTTTTATATAAGATGTTGCTTCCTTCGGCAAAGATGTTCAGATGATTGTGTAACATAATTTACGATGGCGCTAAATCTAAAATATTAGGTTGCGCTATCTTATATCTACAGATCCTGCTCATATGGAAGCTTCTTGTTTTCGGAAAAGTTGTTCAGATGGAATAGACCTCTTCTAGGATAAACAGTTTATTTATTTGTTTATTTGTTATGTTTGCATCAACACGCTAAAAATAGTCCGAATGATGTGTTGTAAAAAAGTACAGATTATAAAGACTACATATACTACAGTTACAAACGAAAATAACAAGGAAAGTATTGTCAAGTTACTAAAAATGTATAAGTCTAAAATTTTACACTCTATTAGCTGTTAGCCGTCAAGCGCCTTCGGTCAGCACTCAGCAGTAAAGGCATAGAATCTTTGGCGAAGCATATTCCGTGTCAAGTGGAAATCGAACATCGACGCTGCTCGGTTGAACACTCGCTGCAAGCCGTAAATAGCGCTCCCTAAGCTATAATTAGTTCGAAAAAGTGGAAGTCTTTGCATAAGACTGTTGCGTAGTGATCGAGGTTGAACATCAATGTTCACTTGTTGCAGAATGGCTTCGCAGTCGATTCTTCCTTGCAGAGTATCGGCGACGGTTAAGGCTCTGAATACATCTCTTCGGATACGTAAGGGCTCGACATTGATCAATTGGCAGCGATTATCGTAGCTTGGAAGACGAAGCGGGTATCTCCAAGGCAGCTTACGGAGCGCGAAGCGAAGAAAAAGTCCTTGCACAGATTCAATTCGCTCGGCCCCATTAATGTAGTTCGGGCCCCAGACAGCAGAGCAGTATTCCAACGTAGATCGTACGAGAGAGCAATTGAGCGATTTCAAGCAGTAAATGTCTGTGAAGTTCTTAGTCATCTTGAAGACAAAACCGAGAGTTCTGGACGCTTTGTCGACGACATACGATATATGGTGTGAGTATGTCAGTTTTGAGTCCAGAAAAACGCCTAAGTCTTTCACGCAATGCACCTGTTCGATAGTCGTGCCTAGTAGATGAAAATAATCGGTTGTTTCTTGCGTAAGAAAGATGATTGTACACTTAGCTGGGTTGACCACGAGTCAGCAAAGATGTCAATCTGATTTTGGAGAGACCGGCACACGGCGAGTGAGCGGATGCGCAGAAAAACTTTCAGATCGTCTGCAAACGATAATCGTGGCCCTGTGATAACATGGTGAACGTCGTCGAAGTAAAGGAGAAATACTAATGGTCCCAGATGGCTACCCTGAGGTATACTGGACTTTGCGCAGAAGCTTGCTGAGCGACAAGTACCCAAAGGTACTGTCAGTTGGCGCTCCGTGAGGTATGAACGAAACCATCCCAAAAGATTTCCACCGATCCCTAGCCTATCAAGATTAGCGATCGCAATTTCGTGGTTCAGCTTATCGAAGGCTGCCGTAAGATCTGTGTAGATAACGTCCGTTTGGGTCCGAGCAATCAAACTGTCTGTGATGTAAGACGTTAGGCTCAGCAGTTTCGTAGTTGTGGGACGCCCAGTTATGAATCCGTGTTGATCTATACTTAGATATTGCTTGCAATGCGCATTTAGGGACTCTATGGCAACCAATTCAAAAAGTTTTGATACAGCACTCAGCGACGTGATTCCCCAGTACACAACTATCTTGCTTAAGAGGTACGATCCAAGTGGAAAATTTATTGTCGAATGTCTACTTAGTTTTTACAATCATCTCTGCCTACTACATCTCTTGTTTTAATTTTAACATTTATTAAGTTTTAGTGTTATTTTCAAACAAACTAAGGAATAGTTTTTATTCATCAATTTAATCTATACGAGAACACTTATAAAGAAAGAAATCATTGAAATATCCAGGCTTCCGTTTTTCACGGCAACTACGTTTCTCTTGTGGGATGGCTGGAAGACCCTCAGTATTTTCTTGGACGGCACTTGATGATTGAACTTCGCTAGTCGAGTTCTCATTCAGATGAAAGTGGAGTTGACGAAACATGAACCGCTCGTATCGCAGTGTCATTCGTGGAGAATAATAATAGTCCAAAACATCCATCGCCGCCCGATATAGGTTATCCAGAACACATCCCTCAGTGGTACAGATGTTTTGAGCAACCTTTCTAACGTCTGGACAACCGAAACACATGAGCGCTTTATACATCTCGTCATGGTCATCAACCGCTTTTAAAGCCAGATACGCAACAAACTGATCCCTCCATCTTTCCCAACGAGACGACGTAGGACCATCACCCGTTTCAACAAACGGCGTTATGTTGAAGTTTAGTTGAAATTTAATTTCAAATAATCACCTCAAGTTGTCTTCTTTTTTTCCTTTGGATTTGTCTTCTCAACAAGCTAAGACCATAAGTTGGTCCATCCCTCGGCTTGTTGCCTTGAAAACGTGATTACACGTGATTACACGTTTGATTTTTCCTGTTTTTCCAGTGCCAAATGGACTGAGAATTTTTCTCCTACATTTGGTCTTCTGACGGACTAGGGCCACTTCTGCACCCCCTACGTCATTGAAAATGGACTGGGATTTCATCCGCTATCATTTTCACTTGCGGACTAGGATTTTTCTTGGATCCCCTTCGCTTCATGTTGAGAACAGACTGGAATGACACTACATTCCCTGTGTTTCTCATATGCAGGCTAGAACTGCTAGTTTTCTTCGCTTATTGACCAGGTGCACGGACTGGAATAAATATTCCCTGCGTCATCCTGGGTTTCGCTGTAAGCACAACGGACTAGAACATTGTTCCCTTCGTTTGCTTTTGATTTAATACCCAAACGGTCTGGAAATTTTCCCTTCGTTTAGGCCCAACCGTTTCCGTAACTTATTTAATATTTACCATCAACATTCCCGATATCCTCGTTCCGTTCCGTTTCGTCTCCGTCGTTTTTCCACGCGCTCCGATTTTCCTCGTCGTCAATGTAACAGTGCTAATGGAACCACAACTGTCTTGCTCAAGAAGTACGATCCAAGTGGAAGATTTATTGTCGAACGCCTACTTAGTTTTTACAATCATCTCTGCCTACTACACGGAACTAATGAGATTAGCGGAGAGTTGCTCGTCTTCAAACACACTAGCAAATTTGGCTGAGAACAGGTTGCAAATGTCTTGTTGATTGCCAGCAGTTTTACCATCAAAAATCATGGAAGAGGGTAAGTCGACTTCCCTGCGTTGCTCATTTACGAAGTTCCAGGAGGATTTCGGGTGTGATTTTAGCCGCCGTTGAATCCTCCTTTGATAGTGTTGAAAACAGAGAAGACTTAACCGCTTATATTCGTGGTTGAGTCTGACATAGTAGCAGAATTCACTCAAAAAGCGGCGCTAGTGTACCAGACTATAACAAGGTTCCTTTCTTCTGCAAAGTTGCTCAAATCGACTTATGACTTTTTTGTTTTCATGCAGTCATGCAAATTTCAATTATATCAACTTTGATATATGATAGTTTTAACTATCATACACGCAAACCAAAAATCTATTACAATGAATGTTAGTTCCAGTTCCTATCATCCTCTGTTAATGAACATCGCAACGAATGTTAGGAATTGACCATGCAAGCGATGTAATGGTTTTTTGTCTTTTTTTATTTCGTGTTCCATCTACGCTTTCGACTATACCAGTAAGCTTGTAGAACGACGCACATTGTAGAACATTGTAGAACGACGCACACACTTGTCTCGAATCTCTCCAGCAGAAAAAGCATACGAAGTCGAGCATGCGAGAAAATGAGCTCTTCATGTTTGCTTTTAGGCTAACCATATTCAGAAGCATGGAGAGAGCAGTGGAGAAAGCACAGGTCTGATAGTCGCAACGTCCGTGGTTCGAGTCTAGTCGGCAACCTTTTTTCTATTTTTTTCGACATAATTAATTTCACTCACTAATACAACTCCACATTTTTCGGTCTCCAATTTTCTTACATCGGACCGCAGCAAGGTATATCGCATCCTCGGTTCATGCGGTCTCCACTTACATCCTCTGATGATGAATCCCACATAATTGTAAGCGAATCTTACATCCACCGGTTGGGTGTAGCAACAGTTAACAGACTCGTAGAAAAATTTCTTATCGATTGGCGTATTAAGAATTAAAATCCATCATCTCTGGATTTAAATCAGACCACTTTCATGCCTCGACCGACTTTGGGTTTTGAAATTGCTCCCCCAATGTTACCTTAAATTACATGGCATGTTAGATTTATACTTATGGGAACTGACATCCGATTGATGACCTTGACACAGGGCTGGTAGCAGGTCACTTTTTAGTGACTTGGTCACTATTTTGAAGTCAGTCA